ATCCGATTTCCCTTAATGCGAACCTCTTACCAACCATAGGACAATTATTAAAACTAAGAAATTAACATTGACAAAATCTGAAGTACTAATCGAATAAGCCTTAAATGGGATTTCACCACTCGTCCCTCTGAGAAAGAGACAAGGACCACACACTAGCTGGGAACTAGTGGGTCATGGCCAGGCCTTCCCCTTGGTTGTGCTCAGAGCTGGCCTGGTCCTTACCTTGGGGCCTCTGTGTTCTCCTCGAACATAAACAATCGCTCAGATCACGAACATCAAACAAGGCCACTCTGTGACCACAATGAATCAAGACAAAACAAGACCACACCATACTAATGTCTGAACACAAACAACAGCACGAACATTATGGAACCAAAAATAACTGAATGTCCCCCTGTCCTGGCTACTATGAGCTACTGCTGCCTTACAAACTACGGTGTTAGCTTGCTTCATTTCTCCACCCCCCGGCCTTAGAGATAAGATTCATGGAGGTGTACAGTCATGGCTTTACCCCCACTTGTTGACAGCATGCAATCGACACCCAAGCCCCACTTCCCTGAGCCCTCCCCAAACTCACCTAACAAACTCTAATCCTCTACCAAGTCCTTTCTGCTCCCCTCTCGTGGTGTGCATTTCCCCCCTTGCCATGAGGAATAAACCTAACCTGTTCCACTGGGGGGTGTGTTTCTGGTAAGTTTTGCCCAGTGGGTATTGATTCACACCACAGATGTCCATTTTCTGGGCCAGGATCCCATTGAGGATGCCACATTGCATGTAATTCTCACGTCGCCAGTCTGTGATAATTCTCCAGTCCTTCCTTGCCTTTCATGGCCAGTTGTAGGATGTCCCTGGATTTGTTGGGTGTTACCTCATGGTTCAACTGAAGTTTTGCATTTTGGGCAAGAATATTACAGAAGTGATATGCTGTGCCCTTCTCAGGGCATCACCTCGGGTGGGGGGGCACATGATGCACGTCACTGCTAAGGTGGACCCTGATCGCTTGGCTAAGGTCGTGTCTGCCAGGTTTCCTCACCACTAGTTTTACCTTCATTCTTAATGAGTAAATTGTGGCAAGACCACTTTGAGTTGGTGCAAATGTCCTGTGGCTTCCGTTTTCATCTGGTTGTAGGTCCCCACTGAGGATTCTTGCCTGCAGTAATTAGTGTGGTGTTTGCCAAGGGATGACTTCCCACTCCCATCATTTCTTCTACATTTATGAGTTGGAATTCTACCATAACAAAGAGCTCTTGCTTCCCCTACTTATTTACTTATTTGAGTATTTATATCAGTATGGTCTCATAAGAATTGATTTTATTTGTGCATTAGAATCTATGACTATCACTATTTATTCTGTTGTTCAGATTGTCTCAGATTTGGCTACGGAGAGTCTCTTCAAGTTGGCTTCTGTGCCCACAATTTTTTGAGCATTTCTTTTCTTTCTGGCCACATAAGATTATTCCAGACTCATCTTCTGCTTTCTTAGTTTGGAATCAGCCATTTCTCCAAAGAGTTTTGGTCTCTTTACCGGAGAAACCAAGACCTGGACACCAGGTAGTGGGGGGTGTCACTGTTTATAGGCCTTCTCAGAGACAGAGCTGGGAAATATATTTCTAACACTCACATCTTTATTTCTGTGTCTATCCATTTGTGTATCCAAAGCAAAAATCCCATTTTTAGTAATACCTCCAATTCCAGTCCAGCCTTAGAGGGTTAAAATTTGCCTTCCCTCTTTCCTTGTTTGTAACTCCCTTCTCCAATGCTAAGAAGCCTGTCTCTCATTATCCACAATATATTTACTTACTTACTCAACACTTAAAATAATTTTGAAACAGCTAAACCGCATCCCCCATGGGAAAAATATTTACTAACTAGAGCACAAGTTGTTGTGTATGGTTCTTTGTCTCCTCTCTTGTTCTAATTTGAGGTGAAATTCACACAGCACAAAACTAACGATTTTCAATCGTTAGCCTTATACTGTTGTAATCAAATGCTTACTTTTCAAGTTGCTTAGGCTAGTTCTTTGGTGTGGTTATCCTAGTCATGTGTAACACAGTTAGGTCTGCTCGTTATCGTCTATCTTGCATCTTAGTGTAACCCACATCCTGGGGGAATTTTAATTATTTATTTGTGGGTTGTGTGAGGCATTCCCATGGCTCTAAGAGTCATATTTATAAAAAAAAAATATACTCAGAGAAGGTTCACTCCATCTTCATCCCCCCCTCCATTCCCATTCCTCCCTTCTTTCCATCCCATTCCCACCATCCCCTGTAGGTAACCAATCTCATTAGGTTCTGGTTTATTCTCTCTCTCTCTCTCTCCTCTCTCTCTCTCTTTGTGTATATATATAAAATATTTTATGTATATTTTCATATAATGTATATTTATATCACAAGTGAGCAAATACATAAATGTTTGCTTATACTCTTTCTTCTTCTTTTTTTTTTTTTTAAAGATTTTATTTATTTGACAGAGATCACAAGTAGGCAGAGCAGCAGGCAGAGAGAGAGGAGGAAGCAGGCTCCGCACTGAGCGGAGAGCCTGATACAGGGCTCGATCTCAGGACCCTGAGACCATGACCTGAGCTAAAGGCAGGGGCTTAACCCACTGAGCCACACAGGCGCCCCATACTCTTTCTTTCTTACCCAAAAGGTTGCATCCTCTAAATACTCTTGGTGCTTTGCTTTTACGTTGTTCTTGTTTAGCGGGTTATCTTGCAGATCATTCATACCAGTTCATAGAGATTGTCTGCATTCATCTGCAAAACAGCATGGCACTCCACTGTGTGGAGGTATCATGGATTTAGCCAACCATTCTCCCATGCACAGACACTTAGGTCGTTTCCAGTATTTTTTGATTACAAGCAACACTGCAGTAAGTAACTATGACGTGCTAACTTTTCCAAGAGGGGCCAGTTTAGGACCTGACACCCTAGTGGGATGGGGGTGCTTCCTCTCCTTGTCTGCTCCTATGAAGAGCTACATGGGGTGGGCCACTTGAACTGGTTGCCCAGCTCCTCTCTGCTGGTCTGTGCCTCTCAGTCACCCTTTGGAGGGTCATTATGTCTGCAAATTCATGGCCCCCTGCCTGGGCGCTGACGCTCCCACATAACTCTCAACTGCAACTTGCCACGTGGCATCCTAAAGAGCTGCAGACGGACCACGAGTATACCTGCGGGCACACGAACCCAGCTGCGCCGGCCTATGTGGCCAATATGCCTGAAGTGCGCAGAAAAGCCACATCTCCGTGCACCGGTGATGAGACAACAGCTTTCAATGAGCCTTCTCATTGGCTTCTGCTATTCTCTTCAGTACTGAGCATGGATGGACTTCCCAAGGCACCCAACATTACCTGCTTGAGGAGGGTTCCCTTCTGAGCCCAGCGGAGGGCTGGGCTGGGGAAGTGAGTATAGTGGCTGCCCAGCTGTCATTCACGATCAAGCCAGAGTCTGTTTGGTGGGAGGGGTTAACAATGACCCCACACTGCCCACCAGCCTGCGGCATTCTGGTTTCCTTACGGTTCCTCTGGGCTGGAGCAGAGCCCTGGGGCCAGGATTAGGGGCCTGCCAGAGCCTGCAGCACTTTCCTTGGCTGTGTGAGGAGTCCTTTGAGCTAGGAGACCCTCTATTCTTGCCCTACATTTGCCTTCAAATACAGAATGCCTATATGTGCCAGGGTCTTGAGAGACATTGTATCACTGAACTAGGACAGTAACCCTGCAAGGGCAGATCCTTTCCTCCCCATTTTATGCAGGCTCAGAGAGGTTAAGCAACGTGCCCAAGGTTACACAGGAATCAGCAGAATCATTACTTGAAACCAGGTCTGTCTGATTCCAGGGCTATATTCCCAAAAGAATATAAATCCAACAACGTATTGATTCATTTCTTTAGCAAACAATTTCTTTTTTAACTCTAGAGGAAACATTCAGGCTCACAGAATTACTGGTGGACAGAAGTCAGATGCTACAGGGGAGGAGTGGAAAGCAGGAGACCAAAAAATGGTCACTTTGAGCGAACGCTTGAACCGGTTTCCTCTTATGAAGAGTCGGACTTGGCCGCCAGGCTGTGGTTCCTTCCATGAAGTCGTGGCTGCGGTGGGTGGCGTGTGTTCTCGTAGATCAGTTCCTTTGTCATGGTAGTTGTCCAGTTTTTTTGTATACTGCCTCTGGTCCCATGCCTAGTCCCCTTGGTGGTGAGGCCAAAGGAGATGCCAGTGAACCCCAGGAACATTCTCTGCCACGGTGAAGAGTTAGTGTTCTCAGGCACCCAGGGCCAGGTTCATGGGCACTCAAGCTCCTCAGTCTCATGGAGCCTGCTCTCAGTTTCATGCTCTGTTGTCTGGCCAATCCCAATAATAGGAGGCCCCACAAATTGCGGAGCTGGTCCTGCAGGCAGAAGAGGCAGTAGGTAGCAAAACTCTCAAGGAAGCCGCTTCGTGCTGCATGGGCCCAGAAGCACGTCTCAGTCTGTTTGAACAACTATAACTGAATACCATAGACTGGGGGGCTGGCAAGCAACAGACACTTCTTTCGCATGGTTCTGGGGGACTGAGAAGTCTGAGATGAAGGGACCAGCAGGTTTGGTGTCTGGAGAGAGCGCTCTCACTGGTGCATAGATGGCCATCTCCTCCCTGCATGCTCATGTGGCAGGAGGGGCAAGGGGACTCTCTAGGGTCTCTTTTAGAAGGGCACTAATCCCGTCCATGAAGGCTCCACCCTCAGGAGCTCCTGCTCCAAGCCTTGCTGCGGAGAACACAAAGGGTGCTCACTACTGCCATCTGGAGGCTGCTGTAAGCAGGGTGGGAGCGTGCGTCACATCAGGAATATCCTTTGCATTAGCTTCAAATGGGCCTCATTTCAATGGGCCTCTCATCAATGAGACCCATGCCTCAGGGGGACAGAGAGGGGATTCAGAAAGGGCTCCCTGGGGGCCGGGCTGTCCGGAAAAGCTCTGGGTCAAGGTAAGACTCAGACAGGGTCTTAGATGACACGTGGCACTTAGTGGAGAAATGGAACCATCTGAGTCTCAGCCCCGGGAACAGATGGCATAGCACACTCCCTCATGGTTGGGCCGGGCCGGGCCTTTGAACCCATCACTATAGACCAGCCTTGGGGAATACTGCAAGTTGCATTCTCTCCAAGCAGACAATAAGACAGGGTTCGGGGTGTGTCTCAGTTTCCTGTGGCTGCCTTAACATATTACAACAAAATGGGTGGCATCAACCAACAGAAAACTTTCCTCTTGTGCTTCTGAAGGCCAGAAGTCACAAACCAGATTCACTGGGCGGAAAGACAGGTGTTAGGAAAGGTGGTCAGTCCTCGCCCCTCCAAACCGAGCCAGAAGGCAACTGTCTCAAAGACTGTCAGGCAGCCCAGGCCTGCCCTTTCAGAAGCTTGGCCTGCCATCCTTGCTATCATAGTTGCCCTAGGAGTTAGTGCCTGGAGCCGTCAAAAGGCAAACCCCCCAAGACAAGCAACCTAGTGGACAATGAGATAGGACTTTTCATGGCCCATGTTTAAACGTGAATGAAGGGACCTAAACTGGGTAGGACAGGGTATGGATCAGCAGCCAAAGAGGAAGGCAAGAGGAGCAAGGACTATCTCAGCAAGTTGCTCTTCTTCCCGGGCCTCAGTTTCCCCATCTGTAGTATGAGAGCTATTAAGTCCAGCATTCTAACCTAAAGGTACCTATTCAGAGGGGAAGAGAGGAGGCTGACTGGGAGGTCCCTAAAGGTAGAGAGCTGACAGGGAGGCTGGACAAAGGTCCAGAGAGCCCCCACTAAGGCTTAAGGGGCCAGGGCAAGAATCCACATGGAGGCCCACATACCATGTGACTAAATATTTCAAAGGTATAAAGGAAACTAACAAACTGTTGAATAAAATACATTCTGTTGGCTGGCCTTGAAAAAATGTTGTTGCAATGACTCCTAAGGCCAAGTTTGAGTGAAAATTCTCAGACTCCTTCGACTGCAACACTGGAGGCTGTGGTGGGGACAGAGCTGGCCTGGGGCCCCAACTGTGGCTGCTGTGTCCTGCTCAGGCTTCCTGCTCCAGGGAGCAGAGCAGGCTGTGGGCCCTATGGTGCACTCTGAACTCTGTCTTTGCGGTGAGGCCAAGGCCACGCTTCCCACGGGCTGTTCCCTGCCAGGAATGGAGTGCAGCAAGGCCTTGTGGAACCTTCCTTCAGATAGCACCGATGCCAGTCATAGAATGCCCCCTCTGACCTTCTCTCCCTCACTTGGGCTCAGATCGGCAATACCTCCTTCTTCCCTTCTATGCAGGGATCCTATACGATCCTTGCCCGTCTTGCCCTTGTCCTGACACCTGCTTCTCAGAGGTCCCGGAAGAACACATTGGCCCATAGCCCACAGCTCATCTCTTCTCACCCGGGGCTCCTTCCCACATCACGAGGTACCTCATAGGAGCACACAGGACCCTAGGCACCCAGAGTGTGGCCCTGTCCATGTGTTTCCTCAGCCTGCAGTCCCCACACACTGTGGCAGTGTGGGAAGTGTGGCAGAAGGGCTAGTGCAAAGGCACGGGGAGCAGGGAGGGGGCACTTCTTGTTTAAGTCTGATACGGTCCTGGCCAGGGGCCTCACCTTCCCCCTGCCTTCCCTCTATGTCAACCTCTACCTCCACGGCTCTCTCCTATGTGTCCTGCCTGTACACGATTCTGGAACACTCTTTGTAACCTCTTATACGTGTCCCTGGCCCTTCACATCTCTATCTTTTTTCAGTAACTTGAGAGTCTGCCGGAGAACAGAGGACACCAGGGCTCAGCAAGGTCCAGTGAGTGTCTGTGGTCGTGGTTGGGTCTTCTGCCGCCCAGCCCCAGGCTTCTCTGTGACGCTGTAGCCAATAGGGGCAACCGCGCCGTGCAGCCGACTCCCCTCTGGTTGTCAGAGTGTTCCTCTGTTCCTGGAAAATGAAGCCCATCTCTCCAAATGTCCCAGGATGCAGCTGCTTCTTTCAACCCTGCAGCTACTCTCCTGGGCAAGGGAGGGCCAGGAATGTTGTTCCCCAAGGCCGGCAAGGATCCAGCCCCTCAGAACTTATCGTTATATTTGCAGTCTGGGTAACGGTAGGCAAATCTGGGATCACAGGTTCTCAGGGGCCTCAAGATGTCCTTCAGCCGGCTGGCGGCCCCAAGGACTTCAGGGTCAGGGAGGGAGTCCTCCCCACACTGGCGGAGGGCGGTGTCTATCTCCTCTTGCACTGGGGAGGGGAACTTCCCCTGGAGGAGCGGAGGTAGCAGCTGCTGACACACGAGCACCAGGCTCTGCTTCTCTGGGATTGTGTAGCAGGAGGGCAGCTCAGCCTGGCAGCCGGAAAGCAGGCAGCTAAAGATGTCTCTACTCTCTCCTACTGCCCCGGCAGCTGCCGGGCTGCCTAGAAGAGAGAGATGCATGATATTACACACCGTATGACCTGCGCCCCTTGCAGGGGAATGGAAGGGTGGCACCACTAATTAGAATTGCTGGATGAACGTTTAGGGTCCTAGCATCTCCTGTCACCAGGAGAGTTAGAGCTTGGGGACACAGTGGTCCCTGCAGAGGACAACACGGGAGGGACTCTCTGTGCTATGGCAGGAGGAGGCCGGGGCATGGAAAATGCACTGATCCCTGCCAGAGACTGGGCTTCTAAATGTAGGGCTCAAACCCACACTGTGATCCTCCCATTATTATTAGGGAACGAGTGAATGCAGGCAATCGCTAGGACCCATCTCATCTGCCCTTGTGGAATACAGAGTTGGGAGAAACAGCAGGTGATGTAGAATAAGGATGCAACAGGGGCCGGGGGCCTGCCCAGCGCAGTGGTTTCCGTCGCCCCAGTATTCTGCCATCAGCCTCGTTTCTTCCGACTCGATTCTCTTTAACAAAGGCAACTCAGGAAATGAGTCAGTGTGGTTTCACAGGTCAGTCTTCGGAGGCCTTCTCTTATCAGCAAAATCAGAGATCAGACAAGAAAATCCTCTGTTCTGTGACTGGGCTAAGAAAATGTGGTCACTGCTAGAGACTGGGATGTTCAAAGAGTTCTACAACGCTGGCTGAGCCCCTGAGGGTGGGGAGAAACCCAGTTCCCTCACATACCACATTCGAGGCCATGCTTTTCAGTCTGGAAAGTTTAGAAAAAGCTAAGGGGCGCACTAGGGCATCAGCCAGATAGGTATGTGTGAGATAAAGTCTAGAAACATCTGAGAGAGGCTCCGAGGAGGTAGACCCAGAGATGGTGCGTGTGTGTGGTGGGGAGGGGGGCAGGGCAGGTGCCCAGCGTCACACTGACACGCATTGGACACCGGCAGCGCCCTGAGGGTTTAGGCGGGGCCGGGGCGGCCTTGCAGAAGACCGCCATGGACAAAGTCAAGTCCAGTTCCCCTTTGGAGATGGAGCTGGAGCCCAGACTCAAAAGGGGAAGAGGGACATTTTACGAACTGGGGCTTCTCTCACAGTGACACACGAGACCAGAAAGGCCCCGGGGTGCGACGACTCCCCTCCCCCCATCACCTCTCCTTGGCTCCTGTCACCCTGATTTCCCCTCTGCCAGCGGCTCAGCTAGGCCCACGCTGGATACCTTCCTGCTTGTCGATGACGCCCAAGGCGCTGGCATCCCGGATGAACAGATGCCCGTTGTTAAAGATGCCAAACGTGCCCGCGTCGACGTGGGTGAAGTACAAGAAGTAGTTCAGGTCGTTGCTCCTCAGGGACTCCAGGACGGCGAGGAGCTGGAAGGCCAGGTCGGCCGCCTGTTCCGGGGCGGCGCCGTAGAAGTCGCGCAGCGGGCTGGTGCTGGTGCTGACCGCGAATCGGCCGCAGGAGCCCAGGTACTTAGGAAGCGGCCAGCCCTCGGCGCCGGGGAAGATCTGCAGAGCAGGACGGGGGAGGTGTTCGGAAATGAGAGCGAACATCGCCGAGAAGCCGCTCCCCCCAGTCTCTCACTGGGATCCCCCAGAAGGATAAGCCTCACCGCGCCCCTTCCTCTGCCGCGTGTCCCTCAGCCTATTTTTTACCTCTTGGACCACGGGCCCCGTGCCCCTTTCTTTCCATCGTGGGTGGATGAAGACATTCGGAAAAGGCAGCCCTTATTTCCAGGCAGCGGATGCATTTCAACAGGTTCCCCAAGCGAGGGGCGATTTTTCCTGCGCTTCCGGATTCAGGGGACTATGTTTATTTCAAGAGTTGAAGAGTTGAAAAAAATATGACTAGTATTTGGGATTTCACAGACAGCCCTGCCTAGGAAGAGGCCATGGGGGTGAAACAAGAGGGTCAAGTTCAGGCCGATGTGAAGGAAAATATTTTTTAAGAATAATAGTGTAGGCACAGATTCTGGGAAAGAGCAAAAATCATGACAGCGGCCCTTGGTGGGCTCGAGTTTGGGGAACTACGGCTCTGGCTCTGGATGAATCTGCCTGGCTAGGGCAACTGCCTGCTCAGAGATGCTGCACCTGCCCCACCCCCCCGCCCCCTTTTTCTTATTTTCCTTATTTAAAAAAAAAAAAAAGTTATCCCCCTCTCGACAATTTTCTGTGGTCTTCTGCCCATTTTAACCCAGCCGCCTGTTGTGAAGAACCTTTTCTTGCTTCCCCTGCCCACCCGGGACCTCTGCCACTGAGGGCCGTGGAGGGAAGTCCTGGGCCCCCTGGCGAGGTCTAACTGGGCAGATCCAGGCTCTTCATGGGTGGGGCCCAGGGTGGTGGAGGTACCCAGCCCAGGCCTCTCAGCAGTCTGCTGCCATCACCAAGCTTAGGATGCTGGGAAAAGAAGACTCCAGGGAGGCACAACCAGCAATTCCTTCTCCTTCTCTAGGATTTAAGATGTCAGTATTACTAGGCAGCTTTTAGCATACAGACCTTGCAGTCAGATAGCTCTGGGTTTGGTCCCATTGCTGACATTAGCTAAGTGACTGTGGTCAAGTCACCTTACATCTCTAAGCCTCACCTACCTCATCTGGAAAAGGGGATAATAATAATATTTCGGTGTGGAATTGTTAATTAAAACATTCAACACAAAACCCGGTACACAGCAGGTGCTCAATAAGTGAAAGCACTTCACTGATTATATATCAGTCTATATTAATTATTCATATATTAATAAATGTGCACAAGACAGCAAGTTATATATTAATATATTAATAATTGTATATTTCATATTATGATTATTAATATATTAGTTTATATATAGTTTGTGTAATTATATATTATGACAAACTAATGTTATATATTATAATTATATTATTATGTATAATTATTATATATTATACATTATATAAGCTATGTTATGTATCATAATATTACATATAATTATTATATAATTACAATATATTAATATAGTATATTCATCATATAGATTATATTATAATCTATGTTATTATTATATTATATATGATATATATGAACACTATATGATTATTATATATAATTATATGTATTATATCATATTATATATTACATATTATGTTATATATAATAATTATTATATATTAGTTACATGTATAATTATATATAACAAATAATATATAATAAACATACAATTATGTATAATAATGAATGAAATAATTATAGATAATAAATATATACCAATTGATTAATATAGACCAAAATATATAATAATATATCAATGATTATTGAGTATACATATTAATAATTATATACAATTATATTTAAAATTAAATGATGAAATTATAATTATATAATTAATTCTGAAAATAAACATCAAGTGTCTTTGTTGTGGTGTTTTTCTCCTCGACTTGCAGCTTCTCCCTCTCCTTTACATTCTTTTCTTTCCCCTCCCTCTCCTTTCTCTCTTCCCTCCCTTATTCCTCTTCCTTCTTCTGCCCCTCCTCTCCTTCCTCTTTCTCCCTCTTCTCCCTAGCCCTCCTCCTTTTTCCACTCTTTCCTCCCGCTTCCTAGTTTCCTTTGTGTCCACAGCGTGAGTGTCCTGACCCTTGGGATTTGGGGCAAATGGGTGTGACTGGCCTCCACACGCTCTGCAGACACTTGCTGACTCGCTGTCTGTCTCCAACGCTGGACTGGAAGCTACAAGGAGACAGGGGCCACCATGATTGTCTCGTTAACCATGGGATCCCCAGGTCCTAGTGCGCCTTCATTTATTTGACCATTCCCCTACTGATGGACAGCTACAATACTTCTGTTTTTCTCTCCTCCCCAGGTACGGCTGCAGGGCATATCTCCAGGTGGTGGCCCCAAGGCTTTAGGTAAAGGGGAAGAAAGCTCAACCCGGGGCTGGCCCCCTCGGAGCCAGACATGAAGCCCCTCCCTGGGCGGGGGTCACTGCCTACCTGTAGGAGGATGGGATGAGCATTGACAGCGAGGGTGTAGAGCAGACGCAGCTTGTCTCGGTCAGTGAAGTGGTCCATGAAGATGCTGCCAGCGTCGGCCACCTCCGCGTAGCGCCGGACCACGCGGTCCAGGAGTCGCTGCGACGGGCAGCGCAGGAAGGGGCTGGGCAGGCCCTGCAGGGGGTAGGTGGGAGAGACCCCAGGAGGGGGGAAAGGGTGCTGAGCTCTTGCTGGGAGGGGGGAGACACCAGAGCTGGGGGACAAGATGGGCTTTGTCAGGGAGAGACCCCTGACAAGGGGTCAGGAAGGGGGCATCTGAGCGCTACTGGAGGGCGGAGTGTAAGGGGCTGTGCAGGCGGGGCTGGGGGGACTGGGGAGAGACCCCCCAGGGTCAAGGAGAATGGACGGAGCCATCCTAGGGGCAGGGTAGGGTGGCGCCCGACAGGTGGCGCACTTCAGCAAGCACGCAACACGTTGGAGCGCCTGCTTTTCCACCCCACCGCACCCCCACTCTCCCTCTCCACAGAAAGCCAGTCTCAGGCTGAATTAATTAGATCGGCCCTCTGCCAGTGACCTTTAGGTCCCTTTCACCATTTCATGACAATGTCACCACTGTTGTGATGCTAGGCCCCTGACCATCTTCCTGTGTTTTGTTCTTTTCTTTTCTTTTTTTTTTTTGTGGTGTTAGAGGTCATACTTGCCTCATTTCAGATCTTCTTTTTTTAAAAAAGATTTTATTTTATCCACTTGAGAGAGAGAGAGCGAGAGTGAGCACGAATGGGGGGAAGGACAGAGGGAGAAGCAGGTTCTCTGCTAGACCTGGGACGCGATCCCAGGACCCCGGGATCATGACGTGAGATGAAGGCAGTCCCTCGACTGACTGAACCACCTAGGTTCCCCCACTTTGTTCTTCTTGGGATAAAATCGGGAGGCACGGACTTCTGTTTATTTTCCATGACCTTCCACCCAGCGCCTGTACCTTTCTCTCCACACAGAACAAACACAATGAACCCAACCTACTTTAATAAAAGAAAAGAGACATACTTAAAAATAAGGCCCCGGGCCCAGTTTGCCAGAAATCAGCGCCAATGCCACACCAACCAGCTGGCTGTGTGACCTTGGACAAGTTCCTTATAAGTCTCTGTACTCTGGGTTACAGTTTAAGAAGAGGGTGCCAGTAACAGCACACTAAGAGATCACGAGGATCAAAAACAGCTGACAGGTGTAAAATGCTAGAACAGTGCCTGGCCAGCAGTAAGCACTCAATAAATGCTATCCGCTCTTATTAAATGAAAAAAGTTTAAACTTGGGGCACCTGGGTGGTTCAGTTGGTTAAGGATCTGTCTTTGGCTCAGGTCATGATCTCCGGGTCCTGGGATCAATCCCCTGTTCATTGGGGAACCTGCTTCTCCTTCTCCCTCTGCCCTTCCCCTTGCTTGCGCTCTCTCTCTCAAATAAATAAATCTTTAAAAAGCTTAAATTGCCGAACATTATATAAAAAGCTAATGATGTACTATATCTTGGCTAATTGAATTTAAAAAAGAGTTTAAACTCCCAGCACAGAGAATAGTGGTGATAGCCGATGATATCGGTGATAGCAAGACTCAGACTTTGTGGGTGAGAACAGGATTTTCAACTTCTAAGAGCCTGACTTCCAGGGTGAGGAACTGAAGCCTGAAAGACCAAGGGCAGAAAGTGTGCCCCCAGGTGTCTATAGACGGTGTTTGCAGGCTGCCTGCTTAGCGGAGGCGCTGGCAGAGTGAGCCATGGGGGTTATGTAGGCGGGGTGGGAGCCTCCAGAGCCCCAGACCTTGGGGCACGGGGCAGGGCCAGCAGCCTGAGCCCTCCCTCTCCCCAGCCAGAACCCAGGAGGGTGGAAGGACCAGTGGGAGTTGGGAGAAGTCTTGAGAGTCTTGGAGGTTGGTGAGGGCGTAGACAGGCTCATGGGGTAGGATGCTCAACCATCCCGGCTTGCTTGGGACTGAGGGTTTCCTGGAATGTGGAGCTTTCGGAGCTAAAACTGGGGACCTGAGACAATTGCTCACTCTGCCACAGGACCCCAGCTGGACTGTGGCTGTGGACCCATACGCTTCTGCTCCCAGACAAGGATTGAAACTGACTGACAGAAGCCGGCATGGATGCTTGTTGAACTGGCATCATTGCGGGTACCCAGTGAGCCCCTGGGGCTTCCCAGGGAGGGAGGGGGCTAGTCCAAATTCTGAAGTGACTGGGCATGATGAAATGTGCCCGGGGTTGCCGATGAGAGCCCAGGAGTTGTGCTCAGGGAGAGAACATTAAAGAACATTCCATGTTTGCACCTCCAAGTCTAGGAGTGTCCAGTTCATGTGCGCTCCAGCCCTCGGCCCGTGTATAAACAGGAGGAGAGGGGACGAACCCATCACGTGCCAGGCAGTGGGCTATTTCCCTGCCATTGCTCATTGAATCCTCCCAGGCACCCACGAGGCACGTGCCCTTATGAACCTCTTTTTGCAACCGAGGAATTGGAAGTCGGCCGAGTGTAGGTAAGGGTCAGATTCAGGGTTCAAACCTGGTATGGGCCACATGTTTGTTCCCCTGCCCCTGCACCAACCCTCACCCCCCCATTCATATATTGAAACGCTAATTCCCAATGCAACGGTATCGGGAGATGGGGCCTTTGGGAAGTAACTAGGCCACGAGGACAGAGCCCTCAGGATGGGATTAGTGCCCTTATAAGAAGAGTAGTGAGAGCACCAGGTGAGGATACAATGAGAAGGCAGCTGTCTGCAAACCGGGAAAAGACATTTCCTAAGAGCCAATTAGCTGGCACCTTGATCTTGAACTTCCCAGTCTCCAGAAGTGTGAAAAATAGTCTTCTGTTCTTTAATCCACCTAGTCTGTGGTATTCTGTTATAGTAACCTGTGCTAAGACAAGACCCTGTCCATTAGACTCCAACGTCCATGCAGTTTCCCCCATAGTGGTTCCTGCCCCACCTCTGGCCCCCTAAGCTACCCAGGTAGAGAGCATAGAAGGTGATTTGAAGCTAGGAGAATATATCTTTGCTTCTTCTTCTTTTTTAGGATTTTATTTATTTATCTGACAGAGAGAGAGAGAGAGAGGACAAGGAGGGGGAGCAGTAGAGCGAGAGGGAGAATCAGATTCCCCACTGAGGAGGGAGCCCGAGGCGGGGCTCGATCCCAGGACCCTGGGATCATGACCTGAGCCGAAGGCAGACGCTTAGACTGAGCCACCTGGGTGCCCCTAGATACCTCCATTTTTATACTTCTTATGATGTTGGGTCAGGGATGGGTGAAGATACTAGGATTGCCCCTTTCGTTATTTTAGCCAGGAAGTAGTGCCAGAAGTCACTCTGCTGACTTGTCCATTTTCACATAGTGGAAAGACTAAAGAAGTTGCTTAGGTTTCATAATCCTGCCTGTCCCGCTATTTCTTTGAGAACTGAGCACAGAGCCGATTTACAAGCCTCACAGAACATGCATGCAGAAGGCTTGGCAAGGCGAGAGGTAAGTGTTTCGCATTCAGTAAATGGTACAAATCATCGTCGCCATCATCGTCATCAGTATCAGCGTCATCACTGTCACGTTATAGATGCACCTTCTTTTTTTTTTTTTTTAAGATTTTATTTATTTATTTGACAGACAGAGATCACAGGTAGGCAGAGAGACAAGCAGAGAGAGAGGAGGAAGCAGAGCAGAGAGCCCAATGCGGGGCTCGATCCCAGGACCCTGCTGAGCAGAGAGCCTGATGCGGGGCTTGATCCCAGTACCCTGGGATCATGACCTGAGCCGAAGGCAGAGGCTTTAACCCACTGTGCCACCCAGGCGCCCCAATAGATGCACCTTCTAACCAGCCATGGTCCTCTCTATGCCCTGTGTCCTTGTCTAGCCGAAGCCTCTCCTTCCATGGCCACATGCTTCGGCAAACAGGGCAAGGCCATCTTTGATGGGATTAGGAGTGCCTGGTGCGAATAGGGTATCAGTCAAAAGCTAAGCCAATTTTCCTGACTTTTATTTTGGACTTGAGATTTGAGATCCATCTGAGAAAGAGGGGATGGGGGCAGAGCTGTAGCAAGAAGCCGGGGCTCCATGACCCGGGGTGATTGGGGTAAGGCTACCCAGGAGCTTCCAGGCCCAGTTTTAGGCCAGGGATGCCCTTACCCCAAACTCCTTTTCCAAAGAGTGTGTTAGCTGGGGCATGGGAGAAGGGCAACAGGTTTGAATTGGAATCTTGGTCCGACTGAGACTCAGGTCCAACTGAAACGATGGTGCCTTTTCTACCTCACAGGAATAGCAAGAGGGCTCAGGAAGACAGCGTGTGCCTTATAACCATCCTAGCCTCAAACTCATTTCCCATATTAATCATCCCACTTGGGTCTGGATGACTCTGGGCTGTTTCTCAAAAGCAAATATTACGCGGAAGGTCAAGATTTACCAGGACTGAACAAATTTGAACGTTTGTGGTGATGGAAATAAAAGTGTAGAAGAAAGAACACTAACTGCTCTCAGGGAGAAAAATCTAAGGCAAGAAGGATGGCTTTCCTTTTGAAAGATTGGAAGTCAGCAGTCTGAGATCATGAAAATGGCTGACGGCACAGCTGGATTCGGGACTCTGACCTCTCTTGCCAAGGACATAGGCAACTAACAAATGGAGAGTTCATGCTGAAATGGGTTTTAGTTTTCACTTCTCAGAATCTGTTCTTCTAAGGCTTTATAGAATGTAAAAATAAGGCAAACAGATATTATTTCATGTTCACAAATTATGAGACACATGCTAAAGACAGCAAATGTGCTAACTCAAGTCACTTTACCTCCCTATTCATAGTATTTATTTATTTATTCTTCATTCCACTTAAAAAATTTTATTTCTCCATCTGATAGGGGGGGAGAGAGAGAGAGAGAGCGTACAAGCAGGCAGAATAGCAGGCAGAGGGAGAGAGAGAAGCAGGCTGCCCACTGAGCAGGGAGCCCCACAAAGGGCTCGATCCCAGGACTCTGGGATCATGAACTGAGCCGAAGGCCCACGCTTAACGACTGAGCCACCCAGACACCCCCCCACCTTTTTTTTTTTAAGATTTTATTTATTCATGGGAGAGAGAGAGAGGAGAGAGAGAGAGAAATTGAGCACGAGCAGGCGGAAAGGGTGAAGGCAGAGAGAGAAGAAGACTCCATGCTGA